GAAGGAATTAGATCCATTTAAAATTTTATTACAAATAAGTTTAAAACGCAACTCGACGCGAGCCGCAAACAAAATTGTGTCGTTTATGGAGTTGGTGCACTTTTGTTAGAGTAGCACAAATTTGGTTAAGCGTATTCAGTCGGGAAATTTTGAAGTTAGAGATGCACGTCGCTTGAGTCGCCCTGTTATGGATAAAATGGATGCCATTTTTGAAAAAGTGGAGCAAGATCGGTATATCAGTAGATACGACGTTACAATTGATAAACGCTGGATACACAAAAAAGTTGTATATTTGGGTACCCCATGAGCTTAATGAAAGTAATCTAATGAACCGTGTATTTGCGATTCTTTATAACGGCGTAATGAAACCGAAACACTTTTGAAGAAGCTGATAACTGGCGATGAAAAGTGTATCACGTACCCACGATAAGAACGTGCGAAAAAGGGCATTATTCATTATGATTTGATTTGTTACCGCCAGGCAGGACCGTCGATTCTGAACTCTGCTGCGAACAACTGATGAGATTAAAGCAACAAGTTGAGAGAAAGTGTCCAGAATTAATCATTAGAAAGGCACATTCTCATTAAAGATCTCAGATGATCTTAAAATGGTACCTGCATATTTTAGTCAAATGTAAATAAACATTCTTAAATTTTTTTTTTGTATATTTCAGTTAAAATGCGAAAAACCTTTAGCCCAAACTATTAATACGTTAGTGGGCAGGAGGTGTTCTGTACGAAAAGCGCATTTTGTTTGGTTATAAAAGGAAAACTACTCATAGAAAAAGGGAATATTGAAATTCGGTTACCAATCGGCGGAAATATCGGTGAAAATACTCGTACATAGAGTTAGCGAGGAAATCAAGGTGATAAATCTTTGCACTCGAGTGCCACACGTCACTGTTCATACCACCTCATCGCGAGGGAATAATTAAATGCAACGTAGACAAAATCACAAGATACTTATTCCACGAATATTTTGAGTTTTATGATAAATTCTGCAAAACACAAATTTTCATCAAATGTTCTCACAAAGATAATCATAGTAGACAGTCGTCGGGTTTCACGAGTGTTATATAAATGCTTTTATCAATACGCTGCTTAAGATAGTTTCGTTACATTACCAATTTGAATATTACCTACGTTAAATTAACACTATACGATATGAATACTATATGTATTTACTGCATACATCCAAACTATCGGGGACGAAGTTGCAGAAAAATAATAACAGATTTTATCACAACTTATTTATGGCTCACGTCTATTTCTTTTTGTAACAGGATAGATTGCATGTAATAAGTGTTTATAGATTATAATAGGTATACATGTAACTCGATGTTAGAGGTGTTCTTTGTTAATATGGTTCATGGGCGCGGCGCACCAGTGACGTCACCTAATGAAGTACCTGTATTTGTTTACTAGCCCTTTATGAGTTGCGCAGATGTAATCAACAGGTACTTACCAAGCTTCATCACAATATGACAGTAACGATTCCATCAAATATTGCAAGTGGTTTCTGGACCATCAGGTGCTGACGGAAAGCTTTTATACTTGACTCATTCCAATTGTAATGCTCAATACTCTATTTATCTGCTGCCAGTGGTTCTACCATCAACAAACTAACTCCAAAAATCCCTAAATTGTATAACACCACTAACAATTGGGCAGTGAAAACGTTTCTAATATATTCAAGAATAGACTAGATCAGAACTGATTATAGTGGAATGTGTCAGAGTTTAGAACCAAACTACCGTATCAGGTACCGCACTCGCTGACGCTAATTTTGCAAGTGAATTATTTTTTAATTTATCATTCTCACTCATTGTTTAGTCGACTGATTGCATCATGATCAATATATAAAAAAAGTTGGATGTATATAAGAAAAAAAGATGGAGTGGCTGGCTGAGAAATGTCTACTACGGAATTAACTAATTAATCCATTGGCAAGCCAATACCAATTACAATCTCCGGCTATCTCGTCTGGCAAAGGTCGTGGGTACGAATCCCATCTCAGAGTATCAGGGAAAAAGAATGGATTTTTAAGCACATTTCATTAAGAATATAATCCAGTATAGCGCTGTGAATGCAAATATTGATCAAATATAATAAATTGTAGTTTTTAAAACGACGACGCCTTAAACAATACGAGTATAACATGTTTCTTAGTTGCATGCAGTGCAATCTTCTAATAAGCTAATTTAGTTATTATTAATTTATAAAACAGATGCAGAACTTCGCGTCGCATGTGTTACAATAAAAAAAGCGGGTAATATCGGTCGTTTGATGAGATTAAATATTCATAAAGTACGAGTATGACAGTAGAATACCGCCAGATTCCAGGCTGTTGTCTGCTTGCTGCGACCGCGGTGGAGTAATATCAATAAATTTCAAACAAGATCCAAGGTAATTTAGTGTCCGAATCGTCGCCATTTCAAGGTGGTGTCGTTTTGTTATTATTATATTATGTTTGGGACAGAATTAACTGGCTCCGCAAAGCCGGTTTGTCGCGGGGAATACGTCTTTATGATACCACTTCGAGCCAGTGTGCATTCACATCGACACATACGAAGATAATCTGCATAAATTGATATAATTCTAGAAAATATTACAGGTGAATGTCCTACGCTGTGTATGTATTGTACAGTCGTGATTTAACTTGAATTATCTCGCCTATAACATGAACCAAGTAGGTATATTTGATGATACTCTACTTAATTATGCCCATACAAATAACAATAGAAAGCTTTTCTTTTTCTTTGATCAAAATAAAGACCTGTATCACCGTCATGTTGACTGATGATCCGTCAACAAATCCTTAAACATTACTCTAGGATTGGTAGATTTGTCGAGCTGCCCCCAGTGCACTAGGTCAAGAGGGAGAGAAGCGAGGATTTTATATAGACAGGGAGGGAAATAAATAAATAAATATTTAACAACATCACATACATTGCTCAGATTCCAAGATGAGTAGCTAAAGCCCCCGTATTATGAAGTATCTGAGACAACGAAGGTACCACAACACCCAGACCAGAGTCAATATAGAAAAGTTCATTTTTTACATTGACCCGACCGGGAATCGAATCCGGGACCTCAGAGATGGCGACACCTTGAAACCGGCATGCGAACCACTCGGCTACGGAAGAAATGCGCTGAAGAGTCTTTTTAATAAGAGTAAAATTCTCTCCACTTTATTTGCTTAAGATAGGAAATAGGCACTCGATAATCTCCGTATTGTATAACTAACCGAGTACAATACCAGTGATGTAGGTACAAAAAAAAACCATACGTGTGCGTAAATTTTCTGAACAAGCAGCTGAACAAACTATAAATAGCTTTATATATGTTCTGGATGAGTATTGATTGTATGATGGCATTAAACGTTCACAATGTGTCAAATAATACCCGTAAAGGGACGTAACTAGCTCACGAACGTGAAAATAATGAGGAATCATTGTAATGTAATGGGCACACCATCAAATATTTTTGAAAGGACCTCGGAATTCTACAAATAGTAATATTATTTAATTAGTTACCCTTAGTTCATACGCCGAGTGAAATCATTTCCAGGCAAACACTCTTGCGCGGAAGTTCGAACTTGAAATGCAAACAGTATTGAATTTTGATTCGAGGACAGTTACAACTCTCGGGGGTATATTAGCTTCAAGTAATATATATGCGTTTATATGTAAAAGCGTAATGAAGATTTTATGTTTGACTTACGAATCGAAGATTTAATTGGAAGTCAATGGCCGTACGGAGTGTATCTAGAAACGCGATAAGGGTGGGTAGGTCAAGGTTAATATTAATTAACGTGAGGGAGTCATTTGAATAAATACACCAGATATTATTAAATTGTAGCGCGTTTGGAAGCACGTGCGCGGCACCACTGCGAGTCTCCAGAGGAACCGAAACAGCTATCCTCATAAGGATTTCAATTATCGTTTGTCTGATATTAATTTGTTCTTTTCTATTTCTTTCATTTTAATTAACATTGTAAATAAAAATTACAGCTTGTGCCATGTTTGCTTGTTGGTAAGCACATCACCCGCAGTCGGCTGGACCGGTTCTCTAATATAAAATATTACGAAATGAACAAACTACGATTATTCGTAAAGCATCGAGTGTTTTCAGGGGAAATTTCAACAGCATAAGGCATTAATTCACAAAATGGATTAGGATCCAAGCCATCTAACAAAACTTATAATCTCGGGTCCCACTTTTCAGCTGTTTAAATCTGCATATAGAATAACATAGTATATACATAACATAGTAGCTCGGTGGCGTATTTGATAAGCGCCGCGGCCCGCGATCGTAGTCGTTAAGCAACTTTCGCAAGGGTCGGTCACGGGATGGGTGACCAAAAAATTATTATCTTGAGCTACTCCGTGCTTCGGAAGGCACGTTAAGCCGTTGGTCCCGGCTGCATTTGCAGTCGTTAATACCCTCCAATCCGGATTGGGCCAGCTTGGAGGGTCATGGCCCATCCTCCTTAACCATCCATAAGGAAGGCCTGAGCCCCTGCAGTGGGGACGTAAAAGGGCTGGTGGTGATAGAATAACATTCCTTCGCGCCGCTGCCAGCAGGACGATTCCGTAAAAATCCGAACCCGAATTCGAACTCGCTCATGTGTCAGAATTCTCGTCATTTAGTGTAGAAATTCCGTTGATTCCATTGTTGTATAAAAATGCAAAATAAAATTGATTGATTATACGTGTCTCAGATACTCTGTTTCATTTCGAAACTCACTTCACTTATGCCGCAAAACGTTATTACCACTGAGGAAGTATAAAAAAAAAACATAATTTCCCGAAATCAAATTAGATGTCACTACGGTACTTTCTTGATTTCTCTATGACAACCCTTCCAAGGTTTTCTTTCATGTGTAAAAGTAAATAAGTTTTAAAACTCAATAAACGACTCATATTGTATTTGTACTTTTTTGCATTTGTATTGATATCATATTTCGAACTTAGCAAATTTCTGTTTTTTAATATGTTAGTTAAAAGGAACGGAAATGACTATCATTGGTCCATTCGTTTCCTGCAAAAATTTACTTTTGCTAAAATCCTCATCTAGTGGAGGTGCTATTTAAGTGCTTTCTTTTTTTTTAAATAATTTCTCATTCAAGATTGTGCGGATACCGCTTTCTGTAGTGTATTGGGATACCTGAGTGAATTCGGGTTTACAGAATCACAGGGCTGTTTGTAAAAACAAAAATCGGCCTGTACTTCTCCGCTACGATATTAGCATATATATATACAGACTTTTATTTGACATTGTCTTAATTCTTAACAGTAACAGGCGACAGTTGTAAGGGAGGGAAGGTCCGATGACCTTAAATTATCATACTAAAGTATATAAGGTCAGACAGAGAGCGCAAAAACAATGCAAATAAAAACCGCCACTACTACATTGAAAAAATATTCAAATTATATTATTCTACATTATGTATTCATAAAAACAGATCGAGTAAGAGTCCCGCGCCGTCAGAACTGAAAAATTATACGACAGGACCAACATTGAACCCTGCACACTCGACGGATGGTACGGCGCGTACTGACGCACGTGTGCTTCTATCAGACAATTTACGTTCCGTCTGTCAATTGGCATCGACTATTTAAAATTACTTATATTAATATCACCGATTCTTATTAATGATGAGTCTATTATTTATGTTTGATATATTCTATATTCATCATACCGCGTGGTATAAAACGAGGCTTTTTCTTGACTTTGACATAATAACGCCTCCACCTCGTGCTAGTAATTAATAATTTACACAAAGCAGCACGTCAGTTAAACACAATATTATTGCAATCGAAGTCGAATTGCCAACACAGTAAGGCTTTTAAAACGATTGGATAAAAATGTACAGCTTCGGATATCACTTGACGTGTTGACTGTGCCCATAATGAACGACGTAAATATAATATTAAACGAGAGTAAAGTTACTGAACGTTTATATCGTATATACGATTTGATATGGCGGTTATTGGCTGGTCTCATTACTTACGCGATAAAAATTACAAGTATATAAACATTCCGGTGTTTAACCCGCAGATAATGTACTAGTATGTACCAATAGTACATACAAACAATAACCGTTAATTAGTATCGATTTAAAAAAAAATTTCTTCACTTTTCGATACATTTTGCTGTAACATTAATTGTATTCTATCTCTAACTTATGTTGTCTATCAAACTGCCTAATGTAAAAAGCTCCATTTCCATTACCCTAAAATCAGTGGAATAAAAATAGTGTCAGTGTAGTCACCGGCCTGGTATCAACGTAAAAAAACCCAATACAGATAATCTTGTATAGGTGACAGCCTATTATCAATATATACAAGACGCTTCAATTATAAATAATATCTTTAGTTAAATTATGATGAGAGGTATAGCCTAAATAAATTATGATAAGTAGTATACTGTTCCAGTTTTTTCGCCGACATCCGACGTGTATATACTTTTATATATAAAACATAATGACTTACTTGCTAATTTGGTTGTCCTGTTGATGTCTGTTGCGTTAGATGTGGTGGCCGGTGATGGTGACCCGGTTACATTAGCCGGTGTTGTGATGTTAGTGGTCACCGGTGTGACGGCAGCTGATACTGATGCTGCAGACATGGTGGTCGATGAGACTATTGTATGCTCTGTCTTCGTCTCGCTCGCGGCCGTGGGTGCCGCCGGCGGCGAAGGTGCATCCCGTCTTTGTCTCACGTGGTCGAGAGATATTATGTTAGGTCGCAGCTCGTTGGAAACTGCGTCGTCTACTATGTACTCGGGTTCATAGGCTGCATGACCTGAAAAGATTTATTGTGTTACATACAACTAGATGACCAGGTGAATAATTTTTCGGATTTACTTGCAAATAAGCATCAATGGTTATGTAAAACTGATCTAAGGTAACATTATTCTTTGTTATCCAATATCATTTGCTGGTCCCATTCTTACATTCGGGGTTATGTATTTTTCTTTTGTTAGCTTTTGATAATTCATCATATCAACATTCATTCCTTTTTTATCCAAATTATCTTTCGTTAGTCTGTCCCTCTTTACTTGATGCTACCTTCTCCTTACATTACATACATTTACGCTGGTAACATTCTTTGTTGCCTGCAAATCATCTCTATTCGTCACATATTTATCAAATTTTCTTTACAATCTGCCAACTATAGAACAAATAAATAACACAGGTCCCGAAGACGAAATACGACTTGACCTTAACTATTTATTAGGCGGGTTTTTTGAAAAAGAAACAGAATGTAGGATCGACAACACTGTTAAACTACATATTATTAACCTATTCTCAGCACTGTCACCAATAATTAATAATTGTGATTGTTAATATAAAGGTATTGTTTGTTCGTGAGAAGAGGCCTTCGGGCTGTTTTGCGCATCGCCTTCCTGCACTTTGGCTATCAGGAGAGAGCCTCACGTAGCCCGTCGACCCCGCGCTGGGGGAGGGTATGGAGAAATGTATTTCGGAGCATAGGAAATACCGTTTTCTTTGTTCCTGGATCATATTACGTTTCGATGTACGTGATTACATCTCGCCTTACTACGCGAGTCGCTACGAACATTGTTGATCGCAACAGTATTCTGTAGAACAATAATCGAACACATGTCACGTCCGTGTGAATCACTAATATGCAGATAAGTAACCGAGCGATGTCTAAATACTTACATATCCTGTGCATCTTAATGAGGTACACGTTACATTATGAGCGATTAGATTGAATGTTTTTATTAAAACTCGAATCTTTGTTATTTAATTTTATTCATAGCTTGTATTGTTAATGAAAACAAAAGATATTCCTGTTCAAAATCTTTCACTGGTTAGAGTCACGCATCGCGAATGCACCACCACCCGTTATTGGTTTGCTTACGTTCATGAAGTTAATCCCAGAAATGTCAATATGAAGACTTAGGTTATGGAGGTGAATGGCGCTCTCTCAAAGCAATAACTACTTGCAATATAATCTAAAAGAATGTTAATCACACAGTAGAAATTAAGAAATGAAATTAAGGGAGCTCCATAAACAGCTGTTATATGGACTGATAGCCAGTGCGAGTGTATGTTGCTTCAATTGCTTATTAAGTAGTGTGATTATTTTTAATTGAAATGCAGGAAATGCTCAATCGCCAGCAATGTGGGATGTGGACACTTTGAGTTGTGAATGTAACGGTGAAATCATTTATGTTATTAAACATTTTAAGAACAGTATGTACAATTTTAGTTTAACAATTTGCATGATTACAAAACTGAACAACAAAAACTCATATATATTTGGTCTCTTTATTTTTGCGAGTGGAAAGTTCTATATCACGAGTTTCCATGGTTAATGATTACTGTTTATCAAAAAAATTAATTAATATGAATACATTTTGTATTAAAATTATATAAAAATTTAAAACATGTTATTTTCAAATACAATTTATAGTGTGAACACTGATGTATTTTAATAATGTCCAATGACCACATGCAATATCTGGGGTAGTATCTTATTTCACAGACCCTTACAGAGTTTTTTAGGAATCATAGTTCTATTGTTATTTTTACTGTAGAATCTGTATTAAAAGTAGGAAAATGTCAAAAACTCATTACAAAGTAAGTAAACTCATCAGCAAAGCCTTTTGTAAATTTTGTTGCCTTCATTTTCTGATCGTTTCATTCTACACACTTTGAGTAAAGACAATAATGACTTTGACACTGTGTCCTGCAAAATTTCATTAAAGTTATTATTAAAATGTTAATAGTTAGTTAAATATTTGAGTGTCTAAAGTTAACTTATTAAAAGTTCAGGAAGTTTGGACACTTTATGACAAAGTAATGACACTAAACTACTGTTTAATAAAGATAAATCATTCAAGAAAGACCAACACCAACATTGACATAATATGACATGATATAGGTAAATTCGAGATATAGGGTTTAATTTTTAAGTTATTTATGTTTACCAGTCTAAAAATAACAGAAAGATTACAAAACAGAAGAAACTTAGTAATTCTCAGAACAATGCCATGGCGATGTGTACATTTCTAAAGAGTTCAAGATTATACCTGCCTTGGTTTGAAACAAATTTATTTAATTCAGTTTATTTCTACAAAACGAAAATAAACACACCATAGTATAATTAAATATTACGACTTTATATGTCGAAATTTCGAGAGGATAATGACATTCTAATTCAAGGATAAATAATTGCCTTTGAGGGAAGTACAGCTTGAAAGTGGTAAAGCCGTACATATTGTTTTACAAAGAATATAATTCTTGACCTACAAATATTTCTTTAAATAGTCGTGCTAATACAGCTTGCGAATTTATCAACAGCTTATTCTGCTCACTGGATTAAAAACAGTAATTTATCTAATGATAATTAATCAAAATGAGTCGACCAACAAGAATGTTCAGGTAAAAATGACACTTTCCGATGCGATACGTGTGGGTTGGACATACCTTCAATGACGAGATCGCTAATCAGGAACGTGAAAAAAATAAATTGAAGCCATTTTATTTTAAATATCTTCATTTCGAAGAAATCCATTTCGCACTGTATAGTTTATATAAAACGTTTACCACTGACTTTTCGCTCTATTCTAATTAGAAAAATTAACGTCAGCTAAATTCACGAGAGAACAGTACCAACCATAACCAGAGACAAAGAGTTAATTCCCACATATTATACTGGTAATAGATAGCAAACTCAAACTTTAAATAGGTCACGATTACAGCGCCATCTATCCGCCAGCTAAAAAAAGTCGCACGTATGTGTGCGTGTATATGTGTGTAGCCAGCTACCACACTATCTTGATGGTGAAAGGTTTATTTGATCAGTTTTTTTTTTTGATAAGATAAATAGGTATATTTTTTCTTTTATATAGATTGATTCTAAAAATGTTTAATAGTTATTATTCATTTTGAGAATCAATACATATATAAAAAAAGCAAATGTACCTTTATAACTTATCGAAAAAAAAAACACTTGGCTAATTAAACCTTAAATATAAACATAATGTACCTAAGACCGCAGATTATTTTTCGTTTTATTTGTTATGATTAAACAAGTATATCAGGAGTCATATTTATATGGTTTATGTTCAATGCTAACTATTATAAATGTTTAGAGCGAGTAAAATAAATCAATTAGTTTATTTCAATGAAACACTTGTTATTTTTGTAGCTTTATTAACCATCTTATTTCAGACATTCATCAGTGATCCACACACAGTTTTTCTCTTCCTACCTTTATTTTTTGAAAAATGGTTATGAGCCTTTACCTTCATTTCATCATTTCTATCCCAAAATGAAATTTTGCCATTGATTAAATCATTGATATTTTTGCACCAATTATTAATAAAAAATACTGCACATTTTTCTGTTATGAATTCTTTTAGTTGAATTTGGTGTTCTGTGCATTGTAAAAAATTTAAATATAAATTAATCTTTATGATTAACTCTATATATGTCAAAATATTTTTTTTATTGCAATTTTCTTTTAAAACTTCTATTGTTTTCAGCATTGGCAACATAGTAAAATAGGTTTCGGGTAGGATACCACAACCAGCTTTTGTTTTCAAACTCTTTTAAAATTATATAAGAATGAAATATCTGCTTTTCTTTAGCTTCTATGTTGTTTTTACATAATAAACAGTTTATATAAAAAAAATTCTTTGCTAATTGTGCTATCCAGCCACTACAGTATCCAATTGCTGCGGATTTTTCTACTTATTAAACTTTCTGTATTGATTAAATCAATGCATAAATGAGCATTTTCAATTTCAACTTCACATTCAGTGGGTATATCATCTACGTCTTTAGTCAATAGTTCTTTTAGTGTTTGCAGATAAATGCTATCATCCATTTCGCAATTTGATCCCACTGAATGTGAAGAAGAAATATTGTCAATAAGCAATGTTTTAAAGGCTCCCTAATTTATGATGAGGCGATGTTGGTGTCACTGCTGTCCTATACATTTTCCCCACTTTTGGTTTGCTAAAGCTGCCATTGACACTGTCGAATAAGTCATCAAAAAACATCAACATGTCTGCAGTTTCAGTGCATTCTTTTTCAAGAACTCCAAACTCTGCAATGAAAATATAATGTTTGTTTAGGTTTGTAATGGAAAATATAAGTTTTTAGTATGTATGTACTATGTATACCAGAAATTTTTTCTATAATAAATCTGCTCTCAAATATATAATAAAACATATGGACTCTAAAATTTCATAAAAATAATAATCATCATCATCATCATCATCAGCCCTTTTACGTCCCCACTGCAGGGGCTCAGGCTTTCCTTGTGGATGGTTAAGGAGGATGGGCCAAGAACCTCCACGCTGGCCCAATGCGGATTGGAGTGAATTGACGACTGTAAATGCAGCCGGGACCAACGGCTTAACGTGCCTTCCGAAGCATGGAGTAGCTCGAGATAATAATTTTTTGGTCACCCATCCCATGACCGACCCTTGCGAAAGTTGCTTAACGACAACGATCGCGGGCCGAGGCGCTTATCTACTACGCCACCAAGCTACTCTCATAATAATATTTAAAAATATCACCTGTCATTACTCCAATAGCAGCTCCAACAGTTTAACACCTAAGTGAAGTGTTTCACTCTCATTTTTAGGAATAAATATAGCACTACATGATGAGCTGTCAACTTAGGTGCCATCTTCACTCCTTTGTAGCCTGGGCATCTTTCATATAATTGTAGAATGTGATTCCACTTAGCAGTACATTCCTTTCCATTCATGTTGCAATATTTGATGTAGTTTGGTCACATACTGCTGCTACCACCGTAAGACCAGTTTCTGCAATTTTAATAATCATATTCTTTATTAAAGCTTTAAGCTCCAAAGCTTTAAGCTTTAAGTTCTTGTATTGCCACTGCAAAAATAATAGGCCAGTGGCTGTTTATATTTTTTAACAATGCCTCTAATTAAGAAAACAAGTACATGGTTACTGTACTATTTGCTTCATTGCTCCATTATCAACAAATCCTGTGATATTTTTTTTTTTTATTATTAAAGCTGATGCTTGGTGCTATTGCCATTTCGTCAAATACCAAGGTGCAGTATTTAAATTTATCTGGCATTCTCCTAACTCTGGATTTTTAGGTTGTCAAATAAAATTTCATTTATGCCTGCCTTTAACTGGACTTTATACAACAAAGTCTGCAATGTTTGTCTACTAGGTAAAATATAAAATTTTCTTAACAGACGATACGCCTTAGCTGTAGGTTTGTATAGCGATAGCGCTAAAATCTTTTCATCAATGGTAAATCAATGCCTTTGTTTTTTTGTTATTTCCATGTGACATTTGCATTCGGAAAAATAATTTTGCAGTAGGTGACATATTTTTGGAAATTATTTGGAAAGCAGAATTCAAGATTTAGCAAGAGCCAATTTTTGTTTAAAGCTCCTTTTTTGAGCTTCTAATTTTTTTAATTTCATCACAGTTATTTTATATTGATTATGGTCTTTCACAGAAACACCTGCAACAAATTTCATGAAATGTAAATTAAAGCCTCAAAAATAAATAGTTTCTTTTTTTGCATTATACACTGTACAAAACTGAATATTTTTCAGATTTGCAGATTGTTTCCAATTTCATGCAGCAATTTTCAAATTGGATAATTGAGATATAAATTTTAACATACCTTTTAATTTTCTTGGCAACTGTTGTTTGGCAACAGGTGTTTGTGTCTTTCCATGGTTTGTATGCTGACATGGAAATAATAACAAATATAGTTATTTCATGGATATCATTGGCTTATCAATCTCTGGCTCAAAATATTAAAGATTGGCCTATGTTACACAACATAGATTTGCAATTTTGAACAAAGGGACCTTCAATTTTTGTATAACTATATGTTGACTCATGAATTTTCCTTTATATAAAAAATAATATTATATTTAAGATGATTATTTAACTATTTTAATTTTCATCAGAAAAATGTTTACCAACCTGATGTGCAGGCATGTAGTTGAAAAGGTACAAAATGTGAGCTACATGGCAAATCCGCACTTGCAACTATGTGAGGTTCTCCAGTTGATTGCGCTGAACATGAAGAAAAAAACATTTTATAATATTTTAAAAATCAAAACATTAAAAATTAACATGGGAATTAGGAGCATTATTTGAACAATGGTGTAAGAAACTAGCTTTCGCCCACAAGGTCTTATATTGTACATATAAACCTTCCTCTTGTACCACTCTATACCTATATTGATGAAAACCACATTAAAATCCATAATGTTTTTTATAAGAACTCAGCTTATAGTAAACATATTCGTTTTCTACTATTTCATTTTTACTTTAAACTTTTTATAGTTTGAAAAATTATTCACTGGTCATTGTTAATCACATATGAAAGAATTTTAATGCATTTAATAAATAGATAGGTAGACATTCAATATGCAGTATTATTTATAAATAATAAATTACCTGACATATGAAGTGTAGGCATTGCTATGTTGCAGTCTATTCTTGGGATATTTATAAATATCTAGAAAATGTTTTCCAAAAATATGCATGTTATTATATATTTTGATTGGATCCAGATGAGTTATTTCTCCACCAAAAATGTCTATCCATTTTTAAAAATTTTCTGTTTTAGTTCTAGGGTCAGGAAACCGGTGCAAAGGGATACCTGAGTAACATAATAATATGTATTATTCTCTGCTATTCACACAACAAATTATTAGTCCTTAATTATTTGTAACTTGGATGAACAAATAACAATTCTTAAATTGTAGGCACATAATAAGTTTTTTAATGAATATTGTATTCTACGATAGCTCAAAGAAAAATACCTGAAAAACATTTGAATTATGAAACTCCACGTATAGGTATAAAAATCGGTTGAAAACTTTGACATTATAGTACAATTCATAAAGTATTTATTGTACAAACTAAAAAGCACTTACCGCTATCCTTAGTCACTGAACATTAAAGTACACAACAACGGTTTTGAGCCATGATTTTTTGAGCAAAGTTCAAATTAAAAACAAGTAACATTTCGGTACGGGATATTTCAAGACACAATACGATTGCTAACACAATATATTTCGATTACACGGAAGAACTTAATCAACTCAACGTGAATAGCAGAAAAAGTTACAGGAACTTGCAAAAACTAACAAGCACAAGGACATTCACTCAATTCATTTTCCATTTGCGAAGTTAGTTTTAAAGTTTACCCACTATACCAAACCATTACATACGCGCCATTTTCAATTGATATTGCCATAGTATATTTAATATTACCACTTAAATTAGAAACATTTCTAGTGACAATTCTATAATTACTATATTATTCTGTAACGAGATATATTATTTCAATAATATTAGGTATCATAAGGCTTTTAACTCAGTTTCAAGTAATAATAAACAAGATTTATTAATGATGCCTTTAAAAACTATCCCCAATTATAAACACATTTATTAATTGTGGCTACACCATGATTTCTATTTTAAAAGCTGGCACATAGATGGCACTGTAAAGTAAAAAAAAATCGAGTTCTAAGTTTGCATAGCAATATTGTAATCTTTGATTCCCACTGTAGGTATTAATTTTCTCGCTCGTTGAGTTTAACCCTCTTTCTTTCACATGTCATAGCACAGACAATCACCTTAGGGATGTATATT